TCACATCTTTCTCTTGGTCCTGGATTCTCTGCTGGATTTGTTGTCGAATCGCCTCGAGCTCCTTCTGCTTCTCAGCTCTTCCTGCTGAAACGTGCACCGTTTCGTGACCTTTGTGTCCGTCCATCGCGCAGAGATAACAGATGCACTGCTGATCAGTACGACAGAAGATCTTCATCACCTCATCATGAGAAGAGCAGATGTTCTCCTGGAGCTTCTTGGAGGGCTCCCCCAGCTGGTGTTTCTGTAATGGTGGAGCTTCATGGTGAGGCTGGAGATGTTTCTCACAGAAAGAAACTAAACAGTCCAGACAGGACTTGGCAGCTTTCAGTTTCCTGTCAGAGCAGACGTCACAGGACACGTCTTCAGGTCCAGCATAGCATTGATAATCTGGAGCAGCTTGGAGGTCAATCTTCTTCAGCTCCTCCACCAGCTCTGCTAACGTGATGTTTTTCACCAGGTCAGGCCTCAGCTTGAAGTCCTTCCTGCACTGAGGGCAGCTGCAGACTCTCTTCTTACCCACTCTATCCCAGTGGGTTTTGATACAGCCCAGACAGTAGCTGTGTCCACAGGGAATGGTCACCGGATCCTTCAGGAGATCCAAACAGATGGAACAGGAGATGGTCTCCTGATCAAGCTTGGGTTTGATTGGAGACATTTTGCTTTTTGGCAGCCTTTAAAAACTATATGAGAGACAAAGAAATTAAACAACATTAGTTATTTATAGTTGGCATTTTTTGTTTTGTTTATGAGTCAGAAATAAAAGTAATTTATTTTTAAATTAACCTAAAATTTAGCACTTGTCTTTACAGATAAAGACATCTTTAAAAAGTTTCCAAACTAAATTTTTATCTTTAACAGTTTTTAACTGACATGAAACTTTAACTCCTATTATAATTATTTTTATTATTATTAATTATATTTTACAAGATGAAGCCAAAAAGTCCTCTTTTTAAATGTGTTTTCAGTATTTCATCTAATTTTATTTTTCAAAAATCGCAGCGATGAGTTTCTGACCAATCAGAGGCCACGGAGTCTTCTCAGCCAATCAGAACTGTCCACGCCCCTAACGGCTCGTTCCTCAGCGTGCGCAGACTCTCTCGTTTTTAACAAATAAAAAATATATTCGCTCAAGAATTTAACACTTATCTTTCAACTGGAAAAAACAGTGACAACATCTTCCAAATTAACATTAAAAATGAGCTAAAGGCCTAACAAGGAAGTTGTAGATTGGCTTAAAGTCACGTGACACGCTGAACGCAGCCAATCAGGAGACGGGACTCAGATTCAAACTCAAGTCCAGCTGCGGAACAAACTGACCTTAAAAATAGTCTTAAAACATGTAATTTACCGTAAAAACCGTAATAATAAACGACATTACATGCGGAAACATACCGAGTACAACACATATACATATATACACACACACACAGCATTAATTCATGTTTTTTAACCGATTAAAACAAATAAAAAGCAGAAACTCTAAAAGGTAATAAAATAAAAAGTCAAGAGCAAGTTTTTAACGTGACGTTTCTGAGTAAACTAGACGAAGATAAAACATTTTTTTAATGTTTAAAACACCTACCGAATTAAAGTTTAAGTGTTACCTGATGAGGCGGATCCAAGTGGACCGGGAATCCCACCGAACTGGGTCGGTTTTCTCTGTTTTCTCAGCGGAACGAAAGGACAGTTTTACTTGAGCCTCTTCAGTCATAGACGCGTCTGTGTGTTTGACGTACTGCGCCTGCGCCAAGTAGGCAGCTCTACAGAAGAATAGGCGTTGCCAAAGACCACATCTGATTGGACAAATTGAATAAGGCGTTTCTCAAGTTCCACATCTGATTGGACCAACAAAATAATGCATTTCTTAAGACCACATCTGATTGGACTAATAAAAATAAGGCGGAGCTTTTTCTTCTTCTACTACTGGCGGATTTTAAACAACGTTCAGGCTCACACCGCCACCTACTGACCATGAAAACTCATAGCCTCCTTTCTAAATTCAGTTTTTAATTTCTATGTGTAAATATTAAACAACCTTTTTCTAATAAGACTTAGTTCCTTCTTCTTGTCCTCCTCTGTTCCCAGGACCCCTTTAAGCTCTCATAAGCTCTCAGAAATTGGTTTCTCAGAACACACCATTGGTTGGTTCTCTAGCCATCTCTCAGATCGGCGGCAATGTGTTCAACATAATAGTATTTCCTCCAGATATTTAACAGTCAGCAATGGCGTACCACAAGGCTCAGTCTTAGGACCCACTCTCTTTACAATCTACATAGGTAATGTAGGTCAGATCATCCCTAATGCATCCTTACATTTCTATGTTGATGACAGTTGTTTATTGTCGAGCTAAAACAGTTGCTAAGGCTTTCCAGCTTTTGCAATCTGACATCATCCAGACAGATTTGTTTCACCTCAAACTTGTCCTAAATGCCGATAAAACCAAAGGGATGTTTTTTTTCAAACAGGAAGTTGGTCCCAGCAGTTCTTCCTCTGATTTCATCCTCAAATGGTGTCCCCATTGAGTTTGTTGATTCCTATAAATATTTGGGTATCTTGGTCGACTCACATCTCTCTTTTAAGCTCCACGTGGAAAACTTGTTAAAGAAACTGGGAGTTAAACTGGGTTTGTTTTTCAGAAACAAATCCTGTCTAACTCTGAATGCTAGAAAACGCCTTGTATCTGTGACTTTCCTTCCCTCCATTGATTATGGTGACATTATTTACATGAACGCTCCTACAAGAACCCTGCAGATGTTGGATGCTGCAGATGTTGGATGCTGTCTATCATGGTGCACTAAGATTCATAACTGGCTGTGATTATCGTACCCACCACTGCACCCAGTATTCACTGGTTAACTGGTCACCATTAACTTCACGCAGACTCTCCCACTGGTACATTTTCATCTTTAAATCACTTCCTGGTCTGCTGCCTTCATACATCTCCTCCTACATGTCTCTGTGTGATAATTGTACATACAGATATTTGTACATACAGATATTTGTACATACAGATATTTGTACAGACAGATATTTGTACATATAGATAATTGTACATACAGATATTTGTACAGACCGATATTTGTACATACAGATAATTGTACATACAGATAATTGTACATACAGATAATTGTACATACAGATATTTGTACATACAGATAATTGTACATACAGATAATTGTACATACAGATATTTGTACATACAGATATTTGTACATACAGATATTTGTACATACAGATAATTGTACATACAGATATTTGTACAGACAGATATTTGTATATACAGATAATTGTACATACAGATAATTGTACATACAGATATTTGTACATACAGATATTTGTACATACAGATAGTTGTACATACAGATAATTGTACATACAGATATTTGTACGTTAAATCAGCTGGTGGTGGATTTAAAGACGTGAAATAAACTTTTTCAACAGACGTCTTTTGGTGTCAAGAATATAATGTTTAAAGTTTTACATCTTTTACCTCCATGTCTGTAAAACTTAACGTAACAAACAGGTTTGAGTTTCTCTTGTCTGCAGTTTGAATCTAGTCACGGCGGTTTTGGTAAAAACCGTCAGCACCGACAGTAAAACTTTATCGATAATGTTTTTTGTCACATCTTTAATTCTTGTTCACGTCTGCGATCAGCTCACGGACGGTGGTGTAGCCGGCGCCCCTGGATAATATTCTGGCCCGAACCAGAGGCTTGATGAGGTCTGGCGACACCCCCAACCTGAGAACCTTCTTCACCACGGCGCTGTTCATCATCATGGCCTCCTCCAGCTGGTCCGTCTCCATGGGGACTTCCTGGTCCTCCGCTGAGAAGAACCTGTTGGAGTCGAAGAGGTCCGCCACCAGATCCTTCAGAGACAAATAAGAGCAGCTGTGGGTTCTGGTTCTGTCCTGGACGGCCTGGAGGACGAGGTGGGGAGGCAGGTCTATATTCAGAGCTTCATGGATGATCAGCGAGTTCTCTAGAAGGTCCTCCGGTGGAACGCTACGGAACCAGGAGAACCAGGACAAAGGTGTTAGTGTCCAAAGCAGCCAGTTTGTGTCCACTGTCCCACAGAACCCATCTTTAAAGGGTGTCGGCGCTTTTTAGTTTCCTGTACGGTTTTTACAATCCAACTCCTTCTGCAGACTTCGGCTGTTTTAGCTGTTCATAAACCTTCAGCTGTGACCTTTGGTCTTTGTAACTTTTAAGTTTTCAAAATTTTCAGTTTATTTATAAATATTTTCCCCATCGGAGAACGTAAAGATCTCATCAAATCCTTGATTCAAATGCTAATTTTAGCTGTTATTTAGCCTTTCACTGCTTTTAGCTTTAAGTTGTTGGTCTGTAGCATTTAGTTTTAGTTAGCATTTGTCTCCTTTTAGTTGCTAGCTAGCTAAAGTTTAGCAATTTTGCTTTTAGCTAGCCCTTTTCTACTTTTAGCTTTAAGCTATTGGTCTGTAAAATTGTTTTAGTTAGCATTTGTCTCCTCATAGTTGCTAGATAGCTAGTGTTTAGCTACTTTAGCTTTTAGTTTTTGCTACTTTTAGCTTTAAGCTATTGGTCTGTAACATTGCTTTAGTTAGCATTTGTCTCTTCATAGTTGCTAGGTAGCTAGTGTTTAGCTACTTTAGCTTTTAGTTTTTGGTACTTTTAGCTTTAAGCTATTGGTATGTAACATTTAGTTTTTAGCTAGCAGTTCCTCATTTTAGTTGCTAGCTAGCTAGCATTTAGCAACTTTTGCTTTTAGCTAGCCCTTTTCTACTTTTAGCTATCATTTTTTTTATTCAAAGGTAGCATTTTTCTACTTTAAGCTTTTAGCTAGCCTTTTACCACATTTAGCTTCTGTTCTTTTTTTGAGTTCTGTTGTAAGCTTTTAGCTAATGTGTTGCTTCTTTTAGCTACTTTTCAGCTTAGAAGTTTTAACTTATCCTGATGCATGCTCAATAACTTAGTTTCAGCTTGTTCTGTAAATTTAAGCCGTTCGTTTGGACTCTTTTCTTTTGTGAGAAAGAAAGTTTTTGTTCAAAAAGCAGAAATGTATTTCGGCTGGTAAAGGTTTTAGCTGGTATGTGAGATGTTTTTGTACTTCCTGGAGGCGTCCAACGGGTGGTAGAGACGTTCGAAACAGGCAGCTGAAGGCTGGTTTGTGTCCTGCACATGAAAAACAAAAGTAGGTAAATAAAAATAAAATAAAAAGCAGCAACAAGCAGAGATCAATCAGCCGACGTTAAGAACAAAAATGGCGTCGAGACGTTTTTCTCTTCAGACGTCGTTCTTACGAACGTGTAAAATCTTTGGTTCTCCTTCAGCGCTTGGAGCCTGCGCCGCGAGCGACTCTCAGCTACCACCACGTCAAACTTCACCACATCTGTGAACGTTTGGAAACTTTTTATTTTGTATCCAGAATTCAGTTTAGATGTGGCGGCCATCTTGAAATGAGTCTCCAATAATTCGAGTGACGTTTTCACTCGGTTTAAATATTTTACTAACAGACAGACTAATGAACAAGCAGACAGCAGCAGTTACATGACAGTCCATGTAATTTTGATTAAAGAACCTCAGGGAGTTTATTTAACGTCATTTCTTTTGGAAACACTTCAAAACCAACAAATAAACAAGCAAAATTGGTTATTTATGATTTACCGTAATTGTCGGTCTATAGAGCGCACCGGAAAATAAAACTAAATTAAACAAACCTGTGCCGTGCCGCTGCGCCCGGGTGTGACGAAGCTAAACGTTAGCTCGTCAGATTTTCTCCATAAATGAGTCGCAGCGTTGAATAATCTGTAAAAGTAGCGGCTTATAGACCAGATTTATTACGGCTGTAAATAATTTTAGGTTCTTCAGTTCCAAGTTCTTCCTGTTTGCTTCAGTTCAGATTTCAGGACGTGAACGTTCAGAAAATGTCAGCAGAGTAAAGACGGGACGTTTCTGTACCGTGGGAGCAGCCGGAGTCCAGACCAGCCCGTCTGCTCGGCTGCAGCTGGGCTGCGTGGAGGCCATGCAGCTGAAGAAACCGCAGCCGAAGGAAACGCAGCCGAAGAAACTGCAGCTGAAGAAACTGCAGCCGGAGACTTTTCCTTAAAATAAACAGAGCGACAGCTCAGACGTTTTATTCTGATAAACAACAAGAGAACTCTTCGTCAGTCGCTAAAACGTTTTGTTGCTTCATCGACTTTCATCATCAGAAAAGGTCATCCATCAATCATCCATCCATCATCCATCCAACATCCATCATCCAGCCATCATCCAGCCATCATCCATCAATCATCCATCCATGATCCATCCAACATCCATCATCCAGCCATCATCCATCTATCCATCCATCATCCATCCAACATCCATCATCCATCCATCATCCATCCAACATCCATCATCCATCCAACATCCATCATCCAGCCATCATCCATCATCCAGCCATCATCCATCTATCCATCCATCATCCATCCAACATCCATCATCCATCCATCATCCATCCAACATCCATCCATCATCCATCCAACATCCATCATCCAGCCATCATCCATCTATCCATCCATCCATCATCCATCCAACATCCATCATCCATCTATCCATCCATCCAACATCCATCATCCATCCATCATCCATCCAACATCCATCATCCATCTATCCATCCATCGAGTATCTTTTACCGCTTCTTCCTTTTCAGGTCGCCGGGGACACTAGTGCCCATGTCCAGCCATCTCTGTGCGAGAGGTAGGGGATGCCCTGGACATGTCTCCAGTCCATCAAACAGACACGGGGACATGTCTCCAGTCCATCACAGGGACACATAGAGACAAACAACCATTCACTCTCTCACACCTAGGGACAATTTAGAGTTACCAATCAGTCCAACATGCACAGAGAGAACATGCAGACTCCCAGAAAGGCCCTGGGCCGGGACTTGAACCAGCTACCTGCTAGCTGAGAGGTGCCAGCTGTACCAGCTGACCCACCGTGCCGCCTTCAAACGAACTGAAAGAATCTTCTTCCTGCTTCTTATCGTGACCTCGGAGTTAAACAGGAAACAGTTTTCGTCTCTTGTTTGTTTTCTTACCTTCGCTCGGCTGCTTTGATGTTTGTAAACGGTCGACGGACCCGATCGCTCAGAGCTGCAGGACCAGAACCGGCTCAGACGTCACAAGAGCTCCCGGTTGGACCCAGAACCTGTTTGTTTTTCAGTGTGAAGCCTGACCGTCTCCTCAGCAACAGAACTTTGAGTTTTGGGGGTTTTAATTCAAACAGCTTCTGTCTCCAGGTTCCACATGTAAACAAAACAACAACATATGTGCGTTATTTACTTATTTTGTCTGTTAGTAAAATATCTCACAAACCACAGGATGTATTCAGTGAAACTCAAATCCTTGAACTTCCATCTGCGCTGACTGATTCAAGATGGCTGCTGCAGCCAGCCAACCCCAGCAAACACATGAAATGTCTCTAATTCGGTTAATCTTACAGATTATCAGCTGTAATCTGGTGTGGTAGTAGCTGAGAGTCGTATCCAACAGATGCACGTCCCTCCAGGGAATACTATGTTTTCTTAAAACAACCAAAACTGAGCTACAGCTGAACTTGGATTCATTTAAAACCATTTTTATGATTTTAAGAGACTAAAGTTAAAACGTTAAAGCAGATTGTTGTCAGCTGTTCACTCCGTGACGTTTTACTCAGTTCTCATGTAAAACTTAACTTTTCAAACACTTTTCATTGTCACTCTCGTTTTCAGAATCAAAAGCAGAAGTGAAGCAGTAAAGTAACTGTTCTGAGCTTTGACCCTCCTGCTGCCCTTGGGTCGAAATGACCCATGAGGCTAACTGAGACCCTGCACGTCATTTTGACCCCAGGGCAGCAGGAGGGTTAATGTGCATCATTTTGACCCCGGGGCAGCAGGAGGGTTAATGTGCATCATTTTGACCCCAGGGTAGCAGGAGGGTTACTGCGCATCATTTTGAC